GTGTGAATGTAATCACATAAAACCAGGATAACAACTGTTGAAATCTAAATGTATGGCATTTGCCAAAAAACATAAAACCTGGTACACTGAAGATTGAAGTTATGTTTTGAGACAACTCCAATCTGTAACAGTTTGTTACGCAGATTTTTCTTTTTGTTTTGATAATAATAAGACTTATAACAAGAAACTAAAACTGTTTAAAAAATAGCATGAACAACTTTTACAAATAATAATAATAATAAAAAAAAGCCATTCAGAAAAGATAGATACCTCTCCATCCAAGCAAAAGTCATCTCGAGAAAAACTCTAAACAATAATAAATTTTTTAAAAATTTAAAATTTAAAAACTTAACAAATTTTAAAAAATCTACTTTTTTTTTTAAATCTCAATATTGCTTTGTACTAAACTCTCTTTTCTTTTTTAATCTGTAAATTAATCAAAAACATGATTATATTTTAGTGTTATATTATTTTTAATTTAAAAACACCCAACAACTTCAAATGTGATTAGATGAAAACTTACATAATGTTGTTTAAAGCGTTTACTAAGTTCATTAGCTTCTCTTAACAGAAGAGAAATTTTTAATAAATCACAGTTCCCTAAAACGAAAGTCAAAGATAGAAACATTCTGCAATAGACGATCATCTAAAAAATTAAAAAAAAAAAAAATCTCGATTTTTATTAAAATTTATTTTATTAACTTACAGTAAATTAGCAAATTATTAGTGTTGCCACAGTACTTTGATACAAAAATTTTTAAAATGTTGATATTAGAGTCAAAGTATTGGTATGGAATATTGGCATGGTTTCTTTTTACACACAATATTTAGCATGTAAGGACATATTTTTATATTTATAATTTTCTAATATATTAAATCCTAAAATATGCACTTTTATTTTGATCAGCTGATCAAAGTATGCATTTATATATATATATATATATATATATATATATATATATATATATATATATATATACATACATACATACATACATACATACATACATACATACATACATACATACATACATACATATATATATATATATATATATATATATATATATATATATATATATATATATATATATATATATATATATGTATATATATATATGTATATATATATGGGCTTCGGCAGGAGAAACAAGTGCAGGACCTATGAATAGCCCTTCTAAAATGGACTTGGTGAGTTAGGCAGACCACCTGCCTAGATAGTCTTGCGCAGGCTTTTTCCAAAAATTAAATTCATCATGATAAATTTATTTGATATTTCCACTGAACTCTTTTTTTGTTTCTTCTTCATTCCAGGTAAAAAAAAAAAATTTACATTAAAAAATTTTTTTTTTAAATTTTATCCTAACCTTTTTTTAAACTAATTTTCATATTAATATATTTATATTTATTAAAGAATTTAATTACTAGTTAAATAAACAATAATATAAAAATGGAAAATGACAAATCGTTTAAAAAAACTTTTGTAACTAAACCTCGAATAAATAAGTTGGATACTTAGGGGCGTTTTAAAGTATGTATGCATTATAACTACTGATTTAGGACCCTCCTTCCCCTTGTACACAACAGTAGATTTTCCAAGAACCTCCTCTCTCTGTGTATGTATGCATTATTAATTACAAAATCAACATCGCTTACTTTTATAAGAATAAATTTTTCAAAACATTAAAAAATTTTAAAACTTTAAACTAATTCAATATTTTTATGTTACATATCATAATATTGTTTTTTTAAACTTGTGAAATTTTTTTATTAAAAAAAAGAAATCAAGTTTTAGAAGAGAAAGAAAATGAGAGAGTCAAAGTTATGTACACATCTTTAACCCTCTTCCTCATCTGCATTTGTACATTTTTGGGTAACCCCTTATCCCCTACATCTGTGTATGTACTTTATGAAAGACCCCTAAAATTAAAATAATAGTTTTTCAAAGTTGCACTGCACATTATTTCTTTTGCTTAGAGCCATTTGTATTAGTTTTACTTTGTATTTTTTTTTGTTCTATATTATTTGTTTCGATTTGCTCCTTTACTCTTGAGTGAACTTTATTCAGTAGTACTGTTTAATCTCATTTTTTTATTTTTTACATCATAATGTTAAATAATAATCAAGTAAACTTTTTTTTAAGCACATACTCAACTAAATTTTTTAATTTTTCAAAAATAAAAAAAGAAGTTTTAAGCTTGAAGTTTGCCATCCATGCTGAAAATACATCATGTGAGAAGATTTTAAAGAATAACTAAATAAAAAATATCAATATTTTGCGCAGGCTTAATTTTGCCAATGTAAACTGACTTAAACAAGTATAAAGGGGGACACCGGCTATAGCTTTTCGTTCCTGCCAAAGAAATATAAAGTTTAGACCATGCAATGATACCTCTAAATCTTTTATCTTGTACTTCTGCTTCTCAAAACTACACTCTTTTAGGTATTAATTCTAATAAAACTGCCTGTTTCTTAATGTCATTTCTCTTAAAACCTTTAAATAGCTTGGCTCTAACACCACTGACCCTGCTGGCACTAAACCCCATAGTTTCTGTATTTCTCAATCTCCTACTCAGATGGTCAATTTTGTGACTTCTAGACAACCCTTATCTTTTACCTTCATTCCTTGATTTGTGTCTTGTCTTATTCAACCTCTTTATGGGTATGATCTTATTACATCTACAAGGATAAAGTCCCAACTATTTTGTTTTTACTCCTGTGTACAAGGAGTAACAAGAAGCCTTTTGACAAGGAGTAACAATAAGCCTTTCGGGATTCATTGAAAGGTCATACCTGCCTAAATTTGCTGAAATAAAAAAATTCATATAAAAGATGTGCAAATAAAACAAAAAAATTAACAATCAATTATTTTGTACATTCTGTACAAATGAGATGTAACATTTTAAATGTTTACATAAGCATTACCAAAAGAGATGTAACATTTAAAATCATCACCAAAAGAGATGTAACATTTAAAATCATCATCAAAAGAGATGTAACATTTAAAATCATCATCAAAAGATATGTAACATTTAAAATCATCATCAAAAGAGATGTAACATTTAAAATCATCATCAAATATTTAAATTCTTTATAATAATGAAATATTATAGACTTGAAAAAAACATTAAAATGTCTTGTTTTTCAGCTGTTCGCATTTAAATTTTATACAAAGGCCATTTACCCATTGAACACTTTAGAAAAAGTAAAAAAATTAGTTTTGCAATGTTTGTGATTTTTTTTCTTCTTCTCTTTTATTTAAGTATTGAGAACTGAGTAAAAAGTAGTATCCAATATTGAAATTTTCTGGTACCATGACAACACTACTAATTATACAAAAAATAAAATAAAAAACCAATAAATATCTAGCAGTTAATGAGATATTAGTTTATACTTATAAGTTGAAAGAAAAAAAAATACCTACCAGAAATATAAAGTAATAATGTTGACAAGAAGACATTTATCAAAAACTTATAAAAAAAAGTTATACCATTTTCATTTCCAGAGCTTGATATTGATGAACGAACTTTCACTTTTTCCTAAAAAATGATTAATATATAAAATATATAAAAATTTATTATTAAATTAATACTAAAATATTGAAAAAATATTATTAATAAACTAATGTAAAAAAAAATTTTAAATATGTACCTTTGATAGTTTTAGTTTGTTGATATCATCTTCAATTTTTTTTTTTTGCATTTCCAATTCTTCTATAATTTTTTTTTGATTTGATTCTGTTTCTTCAAACACCTTCAAATTACTATAACCTCTAAGTTATCTTATAACTTAAATAAAAACAATATCTTATCAAACAAATAATTATTCAAACAATCAAATATATAATCAAATATTTTGTATTCAATCATTAAAGTTAAATATTTCTTACATACTGAATGATTTTTAAAAAATTAATAAAAGATGATTTTTTTTTCTATTTTCACTGTCTTTTTTTTTCTTTTGAGTAAACATTTTTTGGATCCATTTTATTTTTATGTGTATGGCCAACACAACCAATTCAATGCTTTGCTATAGTTTACTAAGTAACAACACAACTAACTCAATGGTTTGCAAGAGTTTGCAAGTAACAATGAACTTTTCATTATAAATAGTAAAAGTTTCAAAAAATCAGTGAATTGCACCAACAGAAAAAATGTTCTAAATTTGCAGTATTAACATTCAAGTTGGAGAAAAGTATTGATATTAAAAATTAAGTAAAAAAAGTATGCTTTTAAAATGCTTAAAAAAAGTATGCTTTTAAAAAATTGCAAAAAAGTAAAGTTCAATTTGCATGATGACTTTGATAAGTTGTAAAAAAAAGACATTGTTTTTCATTATCTTTGGATAAATGGATACCATGGAATGATATGAATAGATGAATGGATACAAAAGAAAAACTGTTGATATACATGTTTTAATTAGCAGTTTTTGAAAATTAACATGACTAATGGTGCCATTGTTATGAAGAAATTAAGAAAAATATTAAATATTGTTCATCAATTATGTCACTCCCATGGTATTTATCTTGTTGTTGTTGATATCCTTAACAAAAAAATCAAATAATGTTTTAATTACCTAAAAATAAATGTTTTAGATCCTTTTCTCAATGATCTGACAATCAATGAGTTATAAAGTTGAACTCATTAAGGATTAATTGACAACTAGACAAGTAAAAGATTTTTGAATTTTTTTAAAATTTTGAATCTTTCAAAATCTAAAAAAAAAAAGAAAGACTGCTTTCACTTAATTTTGAATTTAAGAATTTGTAAAAACTTTTATACTACTGAATTAAAAAGAATGAAAAAAGAAACACGAGACTTCAATCAGTTTAAAGTTTTGAAATCTCATACATTTCACCTTACAAATATGTATGCAGTATGATTTGGTTTGATTTATGCATTTTTGTTTGTATTTTGAATAGATTTTATATTCTATGATAAACACACTTATGGGCAAGTCACTGCCCTAGTTAAATTAAAAAAAAGTCCTACTTAAAGTTTAATGCATTTTGATATATAGAGATTACCAAGAAAGTAGGTTACAGTTAGCAAGCAGTTTTTAGCGCCACAAAAAAAACTTAATATAGAATAGAAATCAATTCTAAAATACAAGTAAAAAAAACTGGCCATCTTATTACTGGCATCTCCCACTTATTTTCGGTTAATTTAGGGCAAGAAAAACAAAAATCAACAATAAAACTTTTATTGTGCTTTGTTGATTTTACTTAATATTTTTTAATAAGGTGTATTGATTTCTGATTGTCTTGGGTCTATTTATGCAGTTTTTACTGCAGTATAGGATAGGTGTAAGTTGCAGGGTAAAGAAATAGCAGAGAAGACATTTATCTGACAGGATAAACTTATTATCAGTACTGATAGTCATCGAAATGCCAGTAATAATTGATTCTGAGGAGATTTTTATTACTTAACCACTACACAAATTTAGTTTACAGATTGTTTTTTTTTCCATTCTCAGGCTTGTATTGTTGTCTGCATACTTTTTGTTTTGCAGTCAATATTTTATCTTGGAAGTTTTTGTTTGGTGATATATTTTTTGTATATCTTGGCTCTTTTTAAGTGTTTATAAGTTTGTTTTTTTTTCATTATTGTAAGTATTGTTTGTTTGCACTGTCTGTCTTATTTTTGTAATCATATGAGTATATTTTTAAATATTCTTCTATTTATCTTTATTTTTGTCTTAACTATCAAAATATGTTTTTTCAAAAAATAATTCTCCTCTATTCTTATGTACTTCATTTTTCTTTTAGGCGTTCACTGCTCGTGTGTGACCATTTGGAAAATTTATAGGCAAAAGTTTTTTAAAAAATTATTAGTAACTCTATCATCTAAATCTATAATCTAATGAAATTATAGAATACATAAATTAAAAACAAATTATTTTTGGCATTTTTCGATTTTGAAATTCGAAATACTCATTTTTTATATTAAATATTTATAGTGTTGAACATTTTTTGTGTTTAAATAGAGCAGCCAAATATTATTTTTATGTCTTCATTGTTAAAAATACTAAAATGATGAACTTCATTAGAGTGAAAAATTTGTGAAAATTGTACCTTTATAATAAGCTATAACTTTGAACAAATTACCAACCCTTAGCCTATTTGATTAGAAAAGAAGCATAATAATTGCTGGCAGAACTAACTCTAACCTGTCTAGCTCGAAATGCTTCCATTTGTAATCTTTCTCTGTTTGAAGCAATTTGTTCTTCTAAATACTAAAAACAATTTTAAAATGCAATGAAAAACTATATTGTTATATTTAATACCTGCATTTATTTTTGAACATATAATTTGACCTACATTTGACGAACATTTGACCTACTCAAGTTAGTAAAGGAGAGATCCGAAGATAAATATAGCGTTTTTGCTTTCAAAAAATGTTATTTTATTTTATGCGCGTTTTGATTGGTTTATTTCTTTAAAATAATTACAAACCTCGTTGTTTTACTTTGTTTACAAATATTCAGTGATTTTATTATCTACAAGTTTGAAGTTTTAGCTTAATACTATGGGGCAGAAGTTATACAAAAGCTGAAACGTTTTTGTTTAGCAATTTATTCAAACGACTATAAAGAAATTATGGTAGTAAATTGCTATGAGTAAAAACTAATGTGAAAACTTTAATTTTAATGTTTTTACTGATTACGGAAAGAAAAAAATGAGTTTTTAGTCATTTTTTGAATACTTTAATACTGTAAACAAGAAGTCTTTTTACTTTCGAATAAAAAAGACATTTTTGGAATGTAATCACTTCACATTTGTTTCATCTGTTTTTATGACGTTGCCCCATCGTGTTTTATGTATTTTAGTGGTAGTTTTGTTTTGCTTGATGCTTTGGTTAAAAAAAGATTTATAAAAAAATAATAAATTATATAGGAAAAGCTTAAATTCTACTTTAAAAATATATAACAGTAATAGTCAAAAATAAGCAGAAAACACAAAATATTGAAGTTTAAAAATGTAAATTTTTGCTTTAAAAAAATGCAAATCGTTCGGATCTCTCCTTAACTACGCTGAGTATCTAATATTTGACTTATCTAATATTTGACCTAATTTATTTAATATTAAAAAAGCATTAGTAGTAGAGTAACTGGTTATTTGATAAATTAAATAGTACAAAAATATTCTTGTATTAGAGATTGTATGACAAATACATATATTTAGTATATATAAATAATTCAATTCCTCTAATTCGTTGCAATTATTATAATCATAATCATCATCAAACAAACAATATTACTTAAACTCCTTTACCTCTTTTTGTGATTTTAACTCTGTAATAATCTCTCTCGAGTTTTGTTCTTCTTGAACTGCTTGGTATTTTTCTTCATTGCTTGCTTCCTAAAGATAAAAAATGAAGACATTTTCTATTATAACAACTCTAACCTCTCAGAACTGCTAATATTTTTGATTACACCAATAGTACAAAACAACACAACAAATTTTGGCAGGCCTACCATTGCTTGCCTAACTTAGAGGTGATCTTCTAATATAATTCTAAACACTTTCACATAAAATCACTAGATTCAACTTTTCATATTTATCCTTAACTCTATCTTAATCTGACCCTGTAATATTAACTGAAAAAAGCACTGGAAAATGTAATATTAACACAATGAATTTGTGTTATATGCTGATTTTGTTTTTTCATGTACAAAAAAGTGAACATTATATAAATAGTAAGGTTATTTTATTTAAAATACACAATTAAGACACAACTTGTTTATATTGTTATATAACACAAAAACAATCCATTTATTCAATGTGTAACCCAACTCATAATTAAGCATCTTATTAAAAAAAAATATAAACAAATTTTTTACATTAAGGTTATTTGACCACTTTTTACATTATTCTACATACAAGATGGACTTACAGATACCATTTTATCAGTTTGCTATATACTAACATACTTGGCATACTTGATGTTTTTTGCTCCTACTAAATATTGGGTTTGTCCCTTCAATGATAATTATTATACTCTCATTACTCATTATCTTCATTTTAATTTTTACTTTTAACTCATATCAAACTTGTTAATGTTACCATATTTTCTTATGTATTCTATTTTCTACTATCCATTACTTTTTGCATATTTTATATTCAACCCATCAAATGAAAAAAGAATTTATCCACCAATTTCAATGAAAAGATTATTCTTATTATCAAGTCATATAAAAAGCAATAAAGAGTATAAACAATCAATCAAAGTGGAAAAAGAAAAACTTACAAAATTATTAAATGAGAAACTAATAACTAATTTTTTACAATATGTTTTATTAAATGTTGAACAACAAACCCTAAACAAAGGTATTTCATTTATACTTTATGCAAATAGCATTAGAAAAATTATAATAAAGATATTATATGATTATAGTAATAATAAAGATATTATATTCAAAAGAGCAGATAAAGGTGGTGGGGTCTGTATTCTAGATGAGGTACATTATGAGAACAAAATAAACCATCTGTTGAATGATGCTAATACTTACAAACTCCTGCCGCATAATCCAATGGCAAGAATACTAAGTGATATTAATACTCTTATAGACTACATGGTTGTCCACTACATAACCGAAAACTTACAGAGGGTATACCGTTACAACTTTTTGTTTCAGCATGTAAAGGCCCAACAAACCTTTATTTTTATCTAAAGTTATTACACATTTTATACAACCAGTGGCAGAATTCCTCTCCTATTATATTAAAGATACCACTCATTTTCTTCATATGCTTTAACCCCACCAATTTATCTCTTTTAACTATTTTTCGTAACAGCAGATGTCACCTCACTCTATACCAATATCCTACCTCAAAAAGGAATTGAACCAACCATCTTTTATATGAAACAGATTCCAATTCATCAGAGATCATCATTATATCCACATTTAGCCTATATTAGTATAATTTTAAAAAACATTCTTTCACCTAGCGTTTTCTAACTTGCTGATAGGTTCTATCGATGAACTGATGGTACATCAATGGGTACGAGAATGGCACTGCCATATGCTAACTTGGTTAGGGGTAGATTAGATGATAAAATTTGAACCCAGTTCCTGAATTTGATTACTTTTTATAGACGTTACATTGATGATATTTTTTCCTGTTCTATGGAAGAGTAACAAGAGGTATATGATTTCATGAATGGGATCCACTCAATTATTAAATTTACTTTAAATGAATCTAATGCTTTAAATAATTTTTTGGACTTGTCGCTAAATAAAGACAGATATAAATGTATCCAAAATACTTTATACAGAAAGTCAACAGATGCAATGAGCTGTCTACATCACGAATTCAATCACCTATACCACCTAAAGAAAAGCATTAAACACAGCCAAGCATTACGCTTTAATACAATTATATCAGAATGGGAAAATCTTTTTAAAGAACTGCTGGCTATAGTGCAAATTTTTGTGTAAAGAGGTTAGGCAGTGAAAGATATTATTTTACAACTTAATAGAGCTTTGCAATTTAGTTAAAATCAACTAATTAATAAACCCCCTACAAATATATATGTAGATATATTACCCATAGTGACTCCTTATTGTGATATTGGGAGAGATATCAATAACATATATTAATAACAATCAAAACAAGAGATAGCAGTAACAATAAAAATAAGAGATACCAATAACATACATTGTTGTGAAGTATTGGCATATTAGAGATGACCCCTATTTAGCAGAAATATTCCCATTGATACGTACACCCGCCTATTCAGCCTATATATACAGCATCAAGTAAAGATATTTTAACATGAATAATGTATACATACAAAGTTTAGACCATTTTTTATAAGTTTTAGTTATTTGATGTTTAAATATATTGATGTTTAAATATATGATGTTTAAATATACGTCATTATCTTTATGTTGGTCACACATCCGTATCTATTTTGCTGTTTTTATATCTTGGATGATATTTATTTACATTTTACTACACATTAGGTTAGACATATCCCATAAGCGCGTTTAGACC